GACGTGGTCTGGTTGGGCTTCCAGGTAGGTTCGGATGGCATGGATGATGCATTCCGAGCCACCTGGCACGGCGACCCCGAACTGGACTGGCAGGAGATAGTGGCGAATCTCTGTTCCCAACGTCTGTAGCGCTGCCTTCCCCACGAGTCTGAGGATAACTTCCCCAATAGCTATGGGACGAACACCTCCTCCCGGTTTCTCGAATGCTAGGAGGCGGCTGGGCAGGAGGAGATCTGCTACTGGGTCCGTTAGTGTCGTGCTAAGCAGGTGGTTGCAGGCTGCGTGGAGGAGGTTGCACACTTTGTTGTTTGAGAGGGCTGGCTCTCGCTGGTGTTCGTAGCAGGTTCCTGAAGGCCCTCCCCCTATTCCGTTTGGGCAGGAGGCGAGGAGTCGCCGGAAGTCCTCCAGCACAATGGAGAGGTTGGACGTGACGTGTCCCTCCAGTTGCGCTGGTAGTGGTGTAGCTGCTGGGGGGTGTTTGTCTCGTAGTGCATCCAGGGTCGATTCTGACACAACGGCGAGTGGGGTGTGTCGCAATGCAGTTACCGCTTTGGCGAGGTTCGCTTTACGGACCAGGCCTTCTGCTCTCCCTTTTAGGCCCTGCGCGTCGGGCCTGTGTCGTGTCTGGTTGCGGGATGTCAGATTGGATTTTGCTTGCTGCAGAAGGTTGTCCTATGCGCCACACCTGAACTGGTGTAGGTGGTATTCGACAGCCGTCCAATCAGGTTTTGGGTTCCCTCCTGGGTTCAGGGTCAGTCGGGGCAGTAGTAGGAAGATCCGCCACGCGCCCAGGCAGGTTGGGTTTGCAGAGATTCATAGGAGCGCTGTGAGCAGGCAGTGAGTGTATTCCTCCAAAAAATTTGGTGGCAGGCGCCTCGGCAGGTGTGGTTGCCGCGAGTTGGTGAGGTGGGAAATATCCCAGGTTTCCACTTGTCGCCATCTGTCGTTATTCGTCACGAGCTGTTCTGGCGCGTGGGTGGCTCGTTCATCAGAGTTCGGCAAGGTTGGGATTTGGGGTTGGGGCGCTCCGATGTTCCCTCCTCTCGGTGGCGCTCCGGCTCGTCGAGCGGGCCGATGTCCCCCGCTGCTCTCTTCTCATTCATCAGTGACTGATTCGTTCTCAGAGGGGGCAGCCGAGGGGACTGTATAATTGGAGCCCTCCGAGTCTCCTTCCTCATTCGCTCTCCCCTCTGCGTCCGCCACTAGTTTTCTACCATGTCACTCTCTCCAGGGCCGTCGCCTTCGTTCCGCCAGCTCCTCCTCCGCCGATCTCCGCACCTGCGTGCCTCTGCGTCCCCGTCCGCCTATCCCTCCGCACCGTCCCCTTCCCCTCGTGGCGCTACCTTCCCGTAGTGGCTGGCGGCTGCCGGCCTCCTCTCTGTTGCACTCTCTTCCTGTGCTTCCCCGTGCCGTTTGCTCCAATGGATCTGGACCTGCTGCTGTCTCCTCGTAGCCATCTCTGCGTCTGGGAGGTCCAGCACCCGTCTGGCCTGCCCTCTCCTTATCAGACGGGGCTGACGCGCCGCCCACATCCACGCGCTTATCGCCCTGGTGGCGGCATCGCTCTGTCGTACCGTCCGTTTCCTGCCGCTGCTCCTTGTTACGAGGTGGTTCTCAGTGGGGCTGCCTCGCCTGTTGGGCCTCCTCGTGGGGTTTGTCTCCGGCATTCCCCTCCCCATCTTTCCATCCCCTGTCTGCACCGGTCTCGCGACGGGCCACAGTACAGTCCGGCTGAGCAGCTGCTGGGGGTGGCTTGCCGAGATGATGGAGGTGTTGCATGTGGCCTTGGCATGGCGTCCGCCCGTTGCTCGGGACCTGGTGTTGTCACGGCGTCAGCGAGCGCGTGTTGAGGAGGTGGCTGCGTGGCTGTTGTGGGGTCTTGTGTACATCCCTCTCCCTCCGCGTGCTGTTGTTGACGAGGCCGCCGTGGCGCCGCTCGCGGTGTCTGCCCTCTCTCGCGCTTTAGCAGGCAAGACTGCCCTCGGACTCGTGTCTGCCTCCGCGTCTGTACTCCGTGCCATGCGGGGTGTGTTAGCCCAGCTACCTTCGCCGGTGTGATCCTCGGCATGTTCTTGTGGCGGTCGTGGCGGGTTTAGCACGCCCTTCGCCGTAGCTAGTCTAGGGGCTAGGTGACTTGCCTTGCCTGGTGTATCACCATCGTATATATATACCTCTATACAAAGATTCTGTATTTGGCATGCCGTCTTGTCGTCCAAGCTTGCGCGGCAGTAGGTGGCGCCGCGAGCACCGGCACCGATGGCAGAGAAGCACTCAAAGAGGAAAATTGAATAATGAGGAGAGAATGGTTTCTAGGCTGTTTATATACTCGCTCTCTCTCTCTCTCTCTCTCTCTCTCTCTCTCTCTCTCTCTCTCTCTCTCTCTCTCTCTCTCTCTCTCTCTCTCTCGCTCTCGCGAGTGCTGGCACCGATGGCAGAGAATCACTCAAAGAGGAAAATTGAATAATGAGGTGCGAATGGTCTCTGGGCTGTTTATATACTCGCTCTCTCTCTCTTTCTCTCACTCTCTCTCTCTCTATGTATCTCTCCCTCTCTCTCTCTCTCTCTCTCTCTCTCTCTCTCTCTCTCTCTCTTTCTCTCTCTCTTTCTCTCTCTCTCTCTCTCTCTCTCTCTCTCTCTCTCTCTCTCTCTTTCTCTCTCTCTCTCTCTCTCTCTCTCTCTCTCTCTCTCTCTCTCTCTCTCTCTCTCTCCTTCTCTCTCTCTCTCTCTCTCTCTCTCTCTCTCTCTCTCTCTCTCTCTCTCTCCCTGCCCCTCTCCCTCTCCCTCTCTCTTTCCTCCTCCAGTGCGCTTGGTGCGCTGTTATGCATGCTAACTCGTGCGTGGTTGCGTAGGCTTCATGAGCATACAATTGCTAGCCTTCGGAGTTTTAGAGGGCACGCAGCTGATCAGAATCTTAGCACTAGTTTCCTGGACTTGCTCGAGTAAAATGGCGTTGTGCATGCTTTGGCCATGACTGTTTTCGGCGCGGCCATCCCCAAAGG